CCCATTGAGCTTAGGTTGCTTATATGAGCTTGGGTAAGGGGCTATTTAGGAGAGCTTTGGCATCTTATCAGTGGCTACATCACTGAAGAATGTCTCCTCACTTCCACAGCAACTATGAACTGCTGGTAGCTCCTCAGGGAGGGCTAGGGCCTGTGAGCCACTCTCCATCCAGGAGGGCGTGTTGAGTGGATCAGTCCTGTGCAGGTAATTGCAGCTGCTGTAAGTTCATAAACGCAAGGACCATTCATGCCCAGAAGACAGTGTTCTACAACACACGGGCTCTTCAGTGCACTCCTTCATTTCACCTCCTCTTGCATGAGCCTTGAATGGGATAGTAGAGATGTCTCCTTTAGTGCTGAGTGTTCCATAGTCACCCATTTAGAACACCTTGACCAGTTATGAGTCTCCCACCAGTGCTCTGACCAAAGATGACTGAAGCCAGCAACACTAATCTATGATCACAAACAGACATGATTGAAAGGCACAGCGGGTCCATTTAGCAGAACAACAGTAGGGTGATTCTACCTATCTTTATGTGGAATCAGGACTCTAGACTCTCTACTTGTTTCTCCCTTCCTGTTCTCTCCCTCAGTCGTTCTCATTTATCATTGAGATTTCATGGAGAATAGATACTGTTGTCATTTCACATGCAATAAGACACAGGGGCTAGATTTGATGAAGGGCCCTGTGGGAAGGAGATGTGAGGTAATGGGCACATGTATGTGTATGCAGTGTACAGGACATAGCAAGCAGTTTGCACAGTGCACGCCCAAGAGCAAGTGTTCCCACACATCATCTTCTGTCTTCATCATTACTATTTCTGCCACTGACAGTCTGCACGTGTTGATATTTTTCCTTAGGATTACATTCATAGGATGAAATCTTGACAAAACATGAATACCTTGGCCTTACCCAAAAACATGAATGAGATAGTGCCTTACTTATTATTGTGGCTGCTTTCACCATCCATGTTTCTTTTTTTCCGGTCACTCTCATGTTTATGAAGTTTTTCAGATCAAACCCTTGTTCGGACTCCTGATGCTGTAGCCCTGCTTCTTCCTTCTTTTAACTGCTTCAGTGCTGACTTCTGTATACCTCGAATGTCCAGCCCATCTAGAACCTTCCCACAATCCTAATTAGTCATTCAGCAAATATTTCCAGAGTACATATTCTCTAGGCTCCTTTCTAGGGAGCTATGGTGGCTGTACTTAGCAAGACAGCACTGTGTAGTTCAGATGAGAGACAGGAGGGCCCCTTGTGTCCTCCTTACTTCCTTAAAAGCAAGTGTGATTCCTACAGGACTGGAGGGCGCGGCTGGATTAATGCTCTCCGGATCCTGCCCAGCCAAAGCGAGTGTTGACTCCGACCCCATTGCGGGTTTTCGTTATTCTCATGGAGTTGGTTTTACCAGTGCGGTCTTTCACCCATGAGGGTTTTCTCCGAAATTAGTGTCAAACTCCTCTCTTTCGGTTTGACTTCATTAACCTGGTTATGTCTTGGAGATGCAGTCTCACTCAGAGCCCAGGCTGGCTTTGACTTTCCAGTGCTCCTGCATGCTGGGATATGCAGGCCTGTGC